CTGCCATCTAGTGGTGCATCTGGAATTCTTTAGCAAAAAAATAGGAGTAAAGATTGGATTGGACCGGAGCATTCAAGCACCGCCCTGAAACCCATACTGGGAGGCAATTGGTGGTGGCTTTTTCCCCAGCTGGTGATTTTGAGCAGGCCAGGCATCTGAAACCCCACCGATTGCAGCTCTTCCAGCGTGGTGTGACAGAGTTGTTGTTGCCGTTGCACAACTTTGTTCAGATCACATTGAGGGCGCATGAAGGCAGCGTGATCAACGCCCACACAAATTCCTCCCAGGTCCAGGTGTTGCAGCATCTGCATGTCATCCCGCTGGGCTGATCTTCCCTGGGTGGAGAAGCTGCACTGCCAGGTTGCTTCAGCATCCAGTTGGGACATCCCTCCTTCTAAAGCAGACTGAGACATTTAAACTCTCCTGGAAAGAAGGTGACAGCAAACCACATCCTCACCTTTGTTGAAGGCATCTCCACGGAGGTGACCGTGAAGCCAGCAGGAATTGACGGCGATTGGAAGGAGTTTCGGGTCCAATTGAATGAAGAGCAAGTTGAAAAGAAATTAGCCAAGCCAAGAAAGAGAAAGATTGCAGCAAGATTGTACTTTTAAATTATTCTGAAGGATGCCCAGAACAAACCTTATCATTCAGTAAGTGAAGCGTGCAGGTAAATGGAGTGCAAATAATTTCCAGCTTGCAGCCAGATTAATGGTCTGAGCTCCAGAGCGGACAAAGGACTGCAATTTATTTTATTCTTCTACTCCCGGCTTAGCTCTATGCCAAGTAAACAATCAGGTGGGTCACCTCACCCCAGGTTTTACTTTCTTTTCATGGGAAGCTGCTCTCCAAAAGTATCAGGGGGGAAAAGTGCAAAAGGTGGGATTTCAGGTAGCCCTAGAGACTCCATCTCTTGGGCTCTGCTCTCTTGGGTCCCTGGGTGCGCGGCAGGCCCAGACATTGTCCTGCACAACGGGGGTTGTGAGGCTGTAGCGGGGTAAGCGAGGCTGTACGGGTTGGCCTAGAGGCTTGGGAAGGTGTTTTCCTTTGGGAGAATTAGAAGGCAAAAGGGGCAAGCAGGCAGTGCCACCGACTTCCAAGAAAGCGGCATGCACAATGCCAGGGGACACCAAGGACTGAGCATTTCTTGTAGCCAACTTTGTTCTAAACAGGATTCAGAATTCCCAGGGGGAAAAGAAAGCTAAGTAGAATAAGGACAAAAACAAGCTTTAGCACAACGGCAGGAAGTATTTGCAGATGCCTCTGTGCATTGTGTGTGTTTGTCAACAAAAGTCAACATGGCCGCTGTGGCTGTATAGTCACAACCCTGCCCCTTTTCTGGGAGCATCACTGGCCACCATCTTAACCCGTATGACACACACAGAGGACAACCCCTGTATATTGTGCCACTGTTGCATGGCTGTGCTCTCCCCTGCAATTATCACATCTTCTTCCAAAGCAAGCCTTTTTTCTTTTTAGAAAAGCATATTAAAGGTAGCAAAGAGGATGAAGGGTGGCCACTTCCTGCCCACAAACTCTCCAAAAGTGTAAGTTACCAAAAAGGAGGAGGAATATCTGTAACAATAGAGGAAGCGTGCCCCAATTTCTAAAAGCAGACAAGCATTGTTGGCAAGTGGATGGACAGCTGTTGTGAGTCTTGATTTCAAAAGGAAAACACATCTTGCATCAGGCATTTGTTTATCAAGATGGGAGGAAGATGCAGCTCGAACCAACAGCAAGAGGCCTGTTCAAAGCAGCTCAAGTGCTTCTCTTAAATGACACCAGGCTGGTCTTCAGAATAGACAAGGAGATCCACACCTACACTGAGGTGGGAAGGAAGGAAGGAAGGAAGGAAGGAAGATGAAGCCTTAGTAACAAATGAAAGATTGACAAATCATCCAGACAGAACTTTACATCTCAGTTGTCAGATACTTCATTTAGTGTATGTTTCCTTCATTAATGTTAAAGGATGGATGTCACTGAAGTTGAATTGATCTGCTTTCTACAAAGAGTTGTTCTAGTTTATTCATTGTTAAGTCAGGGGGCAAATGTGCACATGAAATTTCAAGGAGACGTTGACAAGGCTGGTAGCAGAAAAGTAGCCGTGACTGGGTGTCTGGCAGAGAAGGGCACACACGGGGGGGGGTGTCTTCTTAAAGAGGGGCAAGGGGAAGCAGTGGATGCCCACCTTTGGGGCTGACCCCAAAATGCTTTCGACTCCACAGGCCATGATGAGCTGCAAAAAAATCCCTCCCCGTTGGGAGTTGGGTGTCCATCAATGGTGTCAAAAACATCTGGGCAGCTTCTGTTGAAGCCAACGTCAACTGGAACACTTTTGAAGCAAAAATCTACTTCCTTCATGGGCACACAGGTGATGCCTGAGTTGGTCTGAGTGACCAGAGACGCCAAGGGAGACACATAAATCTTGTTTTGCAACCATGAGAAGTGAGTTTCTGTGAATAATTATTCGGATGGCTGCATCTCTTCGTGCAGGCCTTCAACTTGGGCAGCTGAGACCTCTAGCCAGAGGGTTCCTTTTCCCAGGGCTTCTCAACTTCAGCCAGTTTAGGATGTGTGGACTTCAACCCACAGAAATGGCTGAGATATTCTGGGAATTGAAGTCCACACCTGTTAAAATGACTGAGGTTGGGAAGCACCGCATTATGTAGAACATTTGAGAGTAAAGAACGGACGAGAACCTGGCCGAGAGGGGGATGAAAGGAGATCTTCCCACAATGGGCAGGAGATACAAGGTGAAAGGAAGATAATCTTCTCCTAGGGCAGTGAAATCTGGAACTGTAGGGACCAACGTTTCCTCACAGGACTTTAAAAGAAGATAAGATGAATTCATGGCAAGTCTGGCTCCCAGGAGATGGACTACAGTTTGAAAACTTGGATGACAAGATCTAGGGAGAGCTCCCCCTGGAGAAAATGTCTCTACATGGTTGGTAGAGATCAACACCCATTTGGTGGCACCTTATCAATCCCTCATGACCCCCTAAAGCAGAGGCAGGGAACAACTCGTGGACTTCAACTCCCAGAATTCCAACAGGGCCACCGTTCCACGCCCTGCCCTAAAGCATCTGCTTGCAGATGGAGACGGAGAGATTTCACTGGCTCCTTGTTACTGTCTGAATAGCGAGTCAGCTGGGGTGCAGCAGCCTCGCCTCTCCCAAAGAAAACTGCATTCCTCACCGGGGATGGCACTAAAGTTTGTCCTCCAGAGTTGTGTGGCCTGGGCTGTGTCCCTGGGCTGATTCCCCACACCGAACGGACCCATCTTGGGGAAGAAGGTTTATTGGAGGGTCCCAGGGGATGGAGGATCAGGTCGGATGAGGAGCAAAACCAGCTTCCTAGCAGAGCGAACAGGGAGCGGGGTGGAGGCATGAAGCTTTACAGCAGTTTGAGGTTCTTCCAAGCAGCAAGAACCAACTTGAAAAACCCCCGGGCAGAATTGAGTCATTGGTAGAAACGGGTGTTGGAAACATGTGAGATGTCTGAAGACTCCCTTAGGTTGGGTGTCATTTTCCCCTGAGAAGGGCACTGGGTTCTCCTCCTACCAATTCCTTCATGACACACCCACCCACCCACCCAATTCCCCCCCTGCAGATGGAAAGCTTTGGGGGGGGCCTTTAACCTTGCCACCCTTTCCATGAGCTTGAGAAAAGAAGGGGCAGGCTGGAAATGTGAGAGGAAGCGAGCGAGGCGAAGCGGGGGGGGGAGGAGCAGAGAAGGTGGCTGGCATTTCTGTGGGCCTCGTGGTCCTTTCCAGGCGGTGGAGCTTCCTGTGAGAAAGGCAGCCATTAGAGCAGGGGAGCTTTGCAGCGTCTTCTCTCGCAGGGAGGCGGGAGGGACCAGCCTCGGCTACGCACATCTTGCGTTTGCTTGCCAGGTGTTTGACAGATGGCAGCGCTAGGTGGCTGCCAGCCGAGCGAGCTACATCTTGATGAAAGCCTCTCTTTGGCTGCTTGGGAAGAACCTGTGAGCAGGGAAGGCCGGCAGAGAAGATGCTTCTGCCTTCTTCTGGGCCATTTAACGGAGCAGCCAGGGATTCAAAGGCTGCTTGGTGCACGCGCGCACACACACACACACACACACACACAGACTCCCCCCCCCTCTCCCTGCAGGAGGCATCAGAGAATCCCCAAGGAGTTTGAGGCTTCTTTTAAAAAGGCTTCACTGGTTCACCGACGTTCAACTCTTAATAATCGCGTGCCAAAAGGGAATAATGCAAAGGCCGGTCAGAACACACAGCCCCGTTTCTCTCACAAGGGCCGCTTGTCTTTCTCTTCTCCACAACAGAATGTGCAATTCACAGGTTGGAATCCTGAGGCGCTGCAGACGTTGTGGGGGAGAGAAATGTGAGGGTTTTTTTCTATTATTATTATTATTATTATTATTATTATTATTATTATTATTATTATTATTATTATTATTATTATTATTATTTTGCAAGTGGAAAAGTTTCTACCTGGAGCAGAACAGCTGGCAGAAAAAAAAAAGGCTAGGAAGACAGCTGGCAGCTGCTGCCCCCTGGTGGCGGCTCACAGGCAATGCCCGATCCTGCTTCGGGATGCGGTGGGGTGGGGGGGCTGAGGCAGGTGGGCTGCCCCAGTTGCTAAAGCCCCATGGCTCTCAAACCCAGGTGAGAACCGAGCACCAGGCTTAGGAGGAAGAGTTTGTGGTTCTGCTGAAAGGAAAGGGCCCTTTGGGGGCCCCACCCACTGATGGAGGAGGGAAAGGTCCAAGTCGGAGCGGTCGCCATGCTGCACCCACTGGGAGGAAACCCGACCCAAGCAGTGCATCGGGCCTTGGACTGAACCTTCTCCTCACTCTCCGCCGAGGGAGACAAGAGGGGAAATGGAGCCAAGAAAACTGCAGGTGGAGAACAATCCAGCATCATCCGCTGCCCACAAGTAAGCTGGCTAAAGGCAAAACAAACCAGCTTTAAGAAGGAAGCCCGTGATTATTCTGCCAAGAATCACCCGGCTCATTCAGATTCTAAAATAGCTTTATTCCTTCTAAAAATAAAGTTTGCTAAAATATGACACAGTCCTCCAAATATATGCCTCCAGTAGAGACGGTGCTGAGGTCAGACATCCTGACTTCCAATGTGATGTATATAAATGGCACAATTTACGTCATCTGCACAAGGACTGGCATTATAGAGGTGATGTCATCATCCCAGTCCTGTGGATGTGGGTGCCTCAAAACAGGTCCTTTCCAGGCCAAACACAGAAAGAAACAAGCAACCGTTGGAATTCTGGGTTCAGTTGACTCGGAAGGGTGACCCTGGGTGGTAAACCATGGACTCCCCATCCACATGAGGCCAGGAAGGGGCAGAGACGCAGGTACCAGGTGCTGAGGACCAAGCCTTCTCCTGGGGGAGGACCAAGAGATGGAGATCTTCCTCGGCAGGTGCTTTTAGGCTTGGCCGCTGGAGACCCTGCGCAGGTGACAGAAGGGCCTTTGGAGGTCACCATCTCCGTTGAGAAGACGCCTCCGGAGGTGCCGTTGGTGAGGGACCTCCCCAGGCAGGCCCAGACAATTGGTGGCCTTGGAGGGCTGACCTCTTTCCAGCTCTGGCCTCACGGCAGAGTGACCATCCGGCTGGCGTTGCGTTCTGCTGAAAAATGGCGTTGGTGCCTCAGCCCAGAGAATCGCTCATTCAGGGTCACGCTGGTCTAAGGAAGGGAGACACAACGGGTGCCAAGTTGTGTTTGTGCAAGAGAAGCTAAGAGGAAACTCCCCGGATAGGAGCCAGAATTAGGATCCCCCCCTGAATGGGAATTAGCTTCGTCCAACCTTCCCCCTCCTGGCACTCCAACTCCCAGAATCCTTTGCTGGGGAGGCTCCAGGTGGAGAGCCCTGGTTTAAATTCTCAAGACTGGACCGTCCAGTTCCTGATGGGATAGTAGGGGAACACTTAGGCCGTCCCAGGAGGAGGAGATCACCAAAGATCTCTGTGGGCTGGCTGGGAAATCTACACTGCCACTTCCTTTTGCTGCGGAAGGTCACATCCTCCGTCTCCATTGAGCCTCAGGGGATAGGACTGCCGGTCCAATGGCCCCCATCTCAACCTCCCCCATCACTTCAGCCCCCCAATCCCTGATCTGGGTCTTAATCTCACCTGGCCCTCCCTCCCCTTCCAGGGCACAGCTCCCCGGAGGCCTTGAGGGGTCCCCAGGGGGCCACTTCTGGCCTGGGAGGCCTCTCTACCTGGTTAGCCATAGCCCGGAAGTTGAATCGTAGCATCACTCCTCTCGGCTGCCAGCGGAGCTGCGGGGTCTGGCTAGTCCGCCTTCTCAGGAAGGGGCGCTTCGGTCCTGGCCTGCAAAAGAACCACACAGTTCTGGGGGTTGAAGTCCACACTCCTCCAAGTTGCCAGAGTGGAGAAACGCCGGGCTACAGAGATGTGGAACGAAGAGGCCCTTCGACTAGGGGATTGACCTGGTCTTTCAAAATCTATTTATTCATTAGACTTGTAGGCCACCTAAAATCCAAGCCACGTGGTTCTTTTTCACCTGCTGAGACACCGAGGGGTTGCCTGGTGGCGTCAAAGGTGATGAGCATTTTCAGAGATGCAAACCCCTGGTCTGTGTGTGTTGCTAAACACCTTTGCGTGCAGGTGAAAATTCCTCCTGCGGATCATCCCAAAGGTGCTTTTTCCAGAGGCAAGTAGACTTTGCTTTTCCCTGAAGACGTTTCACTTCTCATCCGAGAAGCTTCTTCCGTTCTGACTGAATGGTGGAGAAAGGATTTATTCCGCACCATGCAGTCAGAATGGAAGAAGCTTCCTGGATGAGAAGAGAAACGTCTTCAAGGGAAAACAAAGTCCAGTTGCCTCTTGAGACAGACATCCTTGGGACAACTATGACCTGAAGGGTTGAGCATCTCCAGAGACAAAGCAGCCATAAAAGGACTACGAGTCCAAGATTCACAGTCCCAGGGTCCCGAAATCCATGTCTTAAGGAGGAAACATACCCCTGGGGGTGTCCTGCCTGGGGGTTGGACACCGAGACGGTCAAGACTGCTCCAGAACTGGGCTGCATCCTCCCCCTGCCAAAAGAACGAAGCCACCATCAATCCGCGGAGACAATGGAAAAGCTCAATGGGGACCCTTCTTTGCTATTTATTTACCTTCTCACTCTTGAGAGGTTCTGCTCCATCCTGGGCCTGATCTGCTGCTGGAGGGACAGGAAGGACAGGCGTAAAAAAACCGAAAGCAAAATGCTTACAGGAGACAGTTTGTTCAGTGGCTAAAACAGGTGCGCTACCAGCTTGGAATTAGACTTAGACAAATGGATGGAGAAATGCACGGATGGATGCAAGCCCCCTGTTCAAAGGCAGCAATTGTGGGAGAAACAATGATTTGTTCTAAAACAATGATAGAACTTGGACCTCATTCACATGTTTCTGAATCCTTCCAGCATACAAGGGGGGGGGTGGGGGTGGAAAACCCCCTTGGTAACCACAGGCAGCTGGTTATGCCTCAACTCCTCATCTTTAAAATGGGTAGATAGCAGAGAGTGGATTTTCAGAGTGATTGCAGGAAGTGAAGGAAAATAAAACATGCCGGTGGCAAAATGGCTAAAGAAAGAAGAACTGACCCGTTGGTTGAAGTTGAATTTGACCTGGCTCTGGAGGAAAACTCGTCCTTGATTGAATGCCCGGAACGGTCTGCGGTTGGCAGAAAGAAAAGGGTCCCCCGTTAAACTCAACCATCGATGCTGTTCCCAACTCTGCAATCCAGGGGTCTCCAACCTTGGCCACTTTAAGACTTGGGGACTTCAACTCCCAGAATTCCTCAGCCAGCTGGGAGTTGAAGTTCCCAAGTCTTAAAGTGGCCAAGGTTGGCTGAGGAATTCTGGGAGTTGAAGTCCACACAAAGTGGCCAAGGTTGGAGACCCCTGCAAATCTGAACTGAGGTGTGGGCAACGTTTGTAATTTGAGGTCCCCTTGTTTGAGGGTACACCGATGTCATCCTGGGGCCTCCCACCTGCCCTCTCCCCAACACCTGCCCCTCGTGAAAACTCAGAGATGGCCACGTTTAAACCCACCAACCTCCGAAATGGCAGAGGCGTCCGTGCTGTCTTGAAGGCTTTGGCTCTTGGGGGGGCTTCGGGCTGAGAGTCTGCGGGGGCTCTGTTGCCATTCCTGCCCGGGGGGCCTTTCCCTGGCTTGTCCTGGAAACGATACCCAGCAACTCACTATCTTGGCAGCTCCGGCCTACGCAGGGCTGAAGCCTTTGATTCAGAGCCTCTTGGAGGGGGGGGGAGAGAGGAGTGGGGGGATCTGCGGCTCCTCCTACCTGCTGGGCCAAGTCTGGCCGGTTGAGAGGGCTCCTGCCCTTCATCTGCCCTGCTGCTCTTGGGCCTGGGGTGCTCATCCTGCTCCAGAGAGGCTTCCTGGCCCAGGGTGGCTTCCTAAATCCTTGGGGAAATCTGCTAGATCCTAAGGAAACACACACACACACACACACACACCAACTTTGATTTGAGTTCCTGGGTAGAATGTACTCTACCTCCTCCCCTAGTGGAATTCATACACACACAGCACTCACACACACACCCTGCACACCCTTGGGAGGAATTGCTCCAGACCAGTGGTGTAATTCACATTTTTTACTACCAGTTCTGTGGGCGTGGCTTGGTGGCTTGGTGGGCGTGGCAGGGGAAGGATCCACAAACTCCCCCTTCCCTCCCCCACCCCACTAACCTGCTTTCCAGCTCCGTTCTCCTGGGCAGGGCAACCAAAGGAGACCCAGCCGATCAGCTGGGACTTGATGGGAGGCAGAGAAGAGATGGGGTTGGCGGGGCCAGTCAGAGGCGGGATTGGCCGGTTCTCCCAATGACTCAACATTTCCACTACCGGTTCTCGAGAACCGGTCCGAACCGGCTGAATCCCGCGTCTGACTTTCACCTTCTTTTTAATGCAACCACGTTGCTTCCATCCACAGGCCAGTTTCTTAAACAAGGTTTTCCCCAATCTGAGACCTTTCATACCTGCCAAGCCCACCCAAAACTCATTGAACCCAGTTGCCCCAAGGAGAGCGCCCTAATGCAGCCTGGGTACAGCCACACCCTCCTGGCGCTGTTCCCCAACACCCCTCTGCTCCAGAGGGAGGGTATTCTTTGCCAGCAATCTTGAAGTCGGTTTTCTGTGCCAGCTCCTTCAGCACCAAAGAGCGAACGGTACACGTCCCCTTGGCTGGCCCACTCCTTCCCCAGTGCCTTCCACCCACCTGGCAGGCTTGGTGGCCCCCAGCTCTGGAATCGAGGGCTCCTGTTGCCAGAGGTCTGGTTCTGGGTCTTCAGCTGGTGCTGCCAGGGTTTCCGGTTCGGCTGGGCCTGGTTACGCTTGATGATGTCATCTAAAGACGGCAGAGACACAACTGCCCCACACTTTCCCGGGCACTCACAAGCAGCTTTCAACGCCCAGCGGGTTGCAAGGGGTCCGTTACCATACTGGCAAATTTTGTTCTTTGGTTAAGGACCAAAATCCTCACATTTTGGTCGACAGGACACTGGCCAGAAGCAAGATGGGACATTGTGCCCAAAGTAGTTTTTTTATTATTATTATTATTATTATTTTTTGGGGGGGAGCAGTTTCCTTGCCTATGAAACTCCTAACTAGCACAGAGGTCTCCAAACTTGGCAACTTTTAAGAGTGGTGGACTTCAACTCCCAGAATTCTGGAAGTTGAAGTCCACAAGTCTTAAAGTTGCCAAGTTTGGAAACCTCCGAACTTGCACAAGGAAGCTTAACTCTTCCCAGCGCAGCTCCGGTAAGGAGAGGGAGGTGCTTGCAAAACAGTTCCGGCAACCGGGAGGTATTTCCAGCCGCCTGACTTCAGGAGGGCTTGGATGTGCCCGGTGCCAGGGAAATGCTTGGCAGCGCGGCTCATCCCTTTCCAGAGAGGCGCTGGCAGGGCGCCGGCTCTATTTCTGGCCCTGGGCGCTTGGGAGGGGGAGGGGGGGGCGCAGCAGGGGTCCCAGGTGCCCCCATGAGGAGCTGGAGGGGGGGAGAGACCGAAGCGCCGGGAGAGGCCTGGAGGGGTCTGGAAGAGGCAGAAAAGTGAAGGGGAGAACAGCCGACCGGTGGGGAGGGGGGGCTGAAGTCTCTGTTTCCGGGATGGGGGTGGGCTTCGGCCGAGTTTCACAGCATGGAACAGGGAGAAGGTTTGGGGGGTCCGGAGCACCGCGAGAAGCCACTTTCCTTGACTCTTGGACGCCCCCCGACCCATTTGCCCACCGGGCGGCTGAAGGGCTGCCAGGGGGCGTTTTAGCTGCGGCTCCCCCCCACCCTCCTGTCCCCAAGCGAGGGCAGCCCTGGCCTCACAAGGCGCAGCCCCCGACCCTTCCCCGGGAGGGAGCCGAAATCTCACCCAGGGACAGGTCGATCTCTTCGCTGGGGGCGGCGGCGGCGGCCGCGCCCGGCTCCTGCTGCCCGGCGCCCGGCACCTCCATGGCTCGCGACCGACCGGGAAGAGGGCAGGTTTAGCCGCCTCGGGACATCCCACCCCCCGCCCCGCGCGCCCCGCCCCCGGGGGTCGCCCGCCTCGCCCCTCTGAGCCGCCCCGGCCCAGCCCGCCTCGCGGAAAGTTAGGCGAGCAGCCGCGGGCGGAGTGGGGTCTTTTCCTGCGGCGCCCTTCCAAAGCCCCCCAATTTCCCTTTGAGGAAGCGGGGGCAGCCCCCGGGAGGCTCGCCCCCCTCGCGTGTCCTGAGGGCTTCCTGCCAGGCGTCCCCAGGAGCGGAGCCCAGGATGCCCGGCCAGGACCGAAGCCAAGACGTGGCTGGCGGGGGTCGCGCCCTCTCCACCCCCTTGCCGGAGGGAGTGGGGGAGGAGGCAGGCGCTGCTGCTGATGCCACGGGGGCTCCCCCATTGGACGACCAGCAGCCCCTCCCCGCTTCCCACCCCCCCGAAAGGGAACTCTGGCTGGCCGAGGGTCCCACCTGTTCTTCCCCCGACGGCCCCGCTCCCGGGTGGAAAGGAAACACTACCACAACCTCCGAGATTAAAAACGGAATCTTTATTCATCTGTAGTCGTCGCATCTTCCGAACGGTAGCCGCGCTCCCCCTTCCAGCAGCCAGAGGGAGACCCTCCTCTCTCCGCCAAATCTCCCCCCACCCCGGTGTTAGAGCCCCGAAGCCCCCCCCCCCCCCCGGCCCCCCCCCCCCCCCCGCCCCCCCAGTCCCCCCGTCCCCGGCGGCGAGGCGGCGCTCAGGGCACGATGCGCATCTGGGAGTTGGGCTCCTCCAGCTTGAAGAAGGGGAAGATCCTCTCGCCCAGGAAGACGGCGTAGGAGAGCAGCGCCACCGGCTCCCTTGTCGCCCCGTCGAAGAAGCGGACGCTGCCGCCCTCGTAGTCCAGGTAGAGGCGGAAGCTGCAGATGCGGGGCTCGGGCTCGGCGGGAGGCAGGTGCTCGGGCAGCAGCGCCCAGATGCCTTCGTCTGTGGAGACGCCCACCGGCCCCTTCCGGGACACCGAGTCCTTCATCACCCCGAAGGCCCAGCCGCGGCCACTCGAGGCCACCTCCACCTGCCAGCAGTGCCGCCCCGCCTTGAACCCCTTCTCCGCCAGGATGCAGGGCGTGGTGTCGAAGGCCTGCCGGCCGGGGAGCAGCCCGCTGGGGGTGGCATCGTGAGTCACGACCTTCTTGGAGGCGGACAGCAGCAGGTGCGGATGGGCGGTCAGCCGGTCCATGGTCACGTTGGCTTCAAAAGGAGGAGGGACACCCGTGTCAGAAATTTGACACCCCCCCCCCACCAAGGGAGCTAAATCCGAATCTCTCCAGCTTTGCTCCGGTTGCTGGGAGTTGTAGTCCAGGTATCCACTGACTTTTGTCCCAGAAGGCAGGCTAGGAATTCTTGGGGGGGGGGCAACCCTTATTCCCCTTCCGGAAGCCAGCACGCATGGCAGGGGGAAGGGGGGGCAGCTCCCCTCTACACCTGGGAGCTGCTTAAGTCCACAAGATCTTAAAGTTGACAAGTTGGAGCCCCCCCCCACCATTTAGGCAATCAATAATGGTCGGTCCACTTTCCCCTCCCCCTTCCAAGGACTCACCTCTTTCCCACACATACACCAGTGGGAGGGCATCTGGGGAGACAGGCAAGAGAAAGAAAGGGGGTGTTTTTGAAAAAAGGGTAAGAAATGCGGAGACGTCATTTCCTCTCCTTGGTATGGAGAGAGGAGGAAAAACATTCTTTGGACAGTTTGCCCTCAGGCCTACTATTGGCTAATCATCTTGGGGTGGGGGGGTTCCTACCCAGAAATCCCCCCCTTTTGTTTCCTTGCCCAGCTCAAAGGCCCCCCCCCCACCCTCCGTCTGGCCTGGCCAAGGGTCGTCCGCGGTTCAACCCCACGGAATCAGCCTTTGGATTCTTCTTCACGTACCTGAAACACCACAAATGTCTTCTTCATCTTAGCCTGTTTTACCACACAGTCCAAGCAATCATGGCTCACTCAACAGAGGACAATTTAGCAAAACCCTGGGAGGGGCTGCCTCTCAACCAGGCGTTACAAACACATTTGCTCCTCTGAGGGCAGCCTGAGGGCAGCTTTCACAGCCCTGGCCCAGGAAATGCTGGGGGGTGCAGCAAAGCCGCCCAATGTCAGAGGCTCCGCTGAAATAAACCTTGCCATCCTATTCACACCTCCGCTCAAATTCCCTCGGTTTTGCACTCTACTCCGTGGTATTTGCTTAGCAGGACTTCTAAAACTGCTCCAGAGCAAATCCTTACCTTTGCACCTCTTCAAGGTATCCTCCACAAAAAGGCTTCTAAGGGAGAGATCCCACATTTTCTCTTTGAAGGGAGGGAAGTTTCCTTCGGGAGGCTGAGCCAGAAGTTCTTTGCACCTACGGACACCCAGCAGGGAAAGCATTATCCGCTCGCCCAAGTGGGCAGGAAACCTTCAGCCTTCTGGGAACAGCAGCAGGCAGATTGCAGAGTTTTCCTGCCCACGAGTGCTCAAGGGGACAAATCACGAATCTTTTTGACGTAGAGCAAAGGGAGAAATAAATAATGTGCCTCAAGAATAGTCAGATTTGGGAAGGAGCCCAGCTCCAAGAGGAGAACTGGAAAAATCGAGTTGGTAGATTCTCATACATTGCACTAAATCGTATTCTTTTGTTTGCCTTGGGGTTAGGGAGAGGTATGGATTAACTATCATTTACAACCCCTCTGTAGCTATGAAGCAGACATTAAACCTTAGGCAACCAGACTAAGTTACAATAAAGCCACTTAACTTAAACCTGATTAGGCCAATAGGCCAACATCATGCCCCCAAAACAACTGCAGCCTGCAGTTCATGTCCATCACAGGAGCTAATTTGCTACTGATTTCACATACAAAGCATTTTAAAAAGCAATGCTCCTGAGCTCCAGCAGGAAATACAGGGCCTAAACTGCAATAGGGGATTGGCCATCCTTAACCATGACTGGATGCAGCCCACATCCTTTGAATTCCTCTTGGTCCAGCCCAAGGAGTCGGTGCATAGCACAGCAGCCTAATATGGCGATGAAGGAAGCTGGGAGAGGGGGAAAAGCTTTACGTACCTGGCCGTCACCTCTTTGATATCCTGGAAGGAAAGAGAGGAAAGTCATTGGCTGTAAAACAGGCTTAATGGCAAGAGCAAACGAGGATCCTCCTCTTTGGATCACAAGCAAGCATTCGAGCAGGGCTATCATCCAACCTTGGTCGCTTTAAGACCTGTGGACTTCAGCTCCCAGAATTCCCCACCAGCATGGCTGCTCAGTCTTACTCCTGCATGGAAGGGCTCGGAATCCTTTTTTCCAAGGGTTCCAATCCGTTGGGCTTGGAATGGAATAGGGAGGCAAAATGAGTCCACCTGAAGCTGGAGGCCCGGCCTGGCTCTGCCCCCACCCAGGCAGGGGGTTGCTCATCCCTGAACCTCACCCCTTTGGACCCCAGAAAGGTGGCCCTCTTTCTCCGGCATGAAGTTGAGCATCTTCCTAGAGGTGAACTTCCTTCCTGGTTTATGTGAGCCGAGAGGCAGGAATAGCCCCCCTGAATGGGGAACACCCCCACCCATCCCACCCTCCACGGAAAAGCCATCACCAAACCCAAAAGCTTTTGCTTAGTGAAGAAACCTCCACCGCTTTCAAACCCTGGTCTTGCAAGGAGGCCGCGTCCGTTGAATGGCCTGCCTTGCATCCCACTTCCCACATTGGGACCCCTCCCGCTGCCTGGAGGCTGCCGACCAGCCTACCATCAGGAATTCATGAGCGGGTTCTTCGAACTTCCACTCCAGCCCCTTGGCGAAGGCCCGGACTGTGCTGTGGTTCCTAGACAGTCTGCTCAGCTCTTCCTCGATCTCCTCGTAGATCCCTTTGGCTGCCATCTTTTGGTCCAGCTGAACCGCCTTCACCAGCTCGTACATCTCCTTATATCCCGATTTAAACTTCTGGTTTAAATCACGGTCCATCATTTTCTTTTAAAAAAAAAAAACCATCTTAAGGAAGGAAGGAGACCCCCCCGCCCCTGCAAGACCAGCCCTGGCTCCTCCCCAGAGAGAAGCCCTACCTCCAGGTTTTCTTTCTCGGTTCGCGCGTCTGAAAAGCTGTCTCGGATGTGGGCCTTCTGAATCTTCAGAAGGTCCAGAAACACCTGGACTTTGGTCTGCAAGAAAGAGGCAGTTACTGCAACTGGGGCTGCCTTTGATCTCGGAGGGACGCAGAGCAAGGCCCCTCCCAGCCCTGAGGGCTATTGG